TCACCTCCTCCAGCCCCCTACACCCCCTCCCTATCTCTGTCACCTCCTCCAGCCCCCTACACCCCCTCCCTATCTCTGTCACCTCCCTCCAGCCCTATAGCCCTCTGAGATCTCTGTACCTTCCCAATCCCTGCCTCTGGGGCATTCCTGATACCCATCACTCTGACCGATCTGGTGTCAGCCTCTGGGATTTCGGTCTTTCTGTTCGCACTTGTTACCCCTTTCAGGGGGAGCTGATAAGCTGCCTCCTTGAAAGGCTGTGGTCCTGTGTGCTTGAAAGTACTGTCTGAGTGAGGGGGGCTGTTCCAAAGGGCTGGCATTGACTCAGTGGCCGGAATGCCCACCTCCCATCTTCCACACACCCACCACGTCTGGTCCTGTTGGGAAGGCTGCCCTTATCTGCTCTAGCAGGCATGTGACCCCAGAGTCATGGTAATGTGGCTGACTCTTACATACCCGCTGAAATCATAGAACTCCTACAGTGTGAAAGCAGGCCATTCAGCCCATCGAATCCACACCAACCCTCCAAAGAACACCCCAGCCAGTCCCCTGCATTCCCATGGCTAATCCACCCAGCCTGCACATCCCTGGGCACTATGGGACAATTTAGCATGGCCAGTGCATCCTAACCTGCACATCTTTGGACTGTGGGAGGAAACCGGAAGACCCGGAGGAAACCCACGCAGACACGGGGGAGAATGTGCAAAGTCCACACAGACAGTGTGGAATCGAACCTGGGACCCTGGCGCTGTGAGGCAGCAGTGGTGCCAACCATATCCACTGAGCCACCGTGCTGCCCCTAACCTCTGAGCCATCGTGCTGCTGAGCTCAAGTGCATATTCGGGATGTGCTGGCCTCCCCAGTGATGCCCCATCCTGTGAAATTATAAACTGGAGATAGCAGCAGCTCATAAGCGCTTTTCTTCGCTGTAAACTGATTCCGAGGACGAGGGAGAGGCTATACAAACGCAGTTTCTCCTTTTGTTTCCATTTTGGCCCCGCAGTGCGGAGATGACATCTCAGATGTTTTTGACACGGGGGTCCCCTGTGACCTGGACGCTGTGAGGACCAAATTTGAAGATGGTGGTTATTCTTCTGTGGTGAGTCTGGGGTGATGGGGCATTGGTGGGGGTTGCGGGGGGGGTGTGCTGGGGGCAGAGCAGGGTGTGCGGATGGGGAGTGGAAGGGTTGGTGGGGCGTGGGGAGGGGGTGGAGAGAGAGAGAGACGGGGGCTGCAACCGTTTGCAGGCTGTGATCCCGAATTGGAGAGCCTGCTTTGTCCTTGCGTCACTGTTCTGGCTCTGCCTGTGGCCAGCTCATGTTCCTGCTGTCTGACATTGCCTGCCCATCCTACCCTGATGCTGCTTGGGCAGGAGAAAGCGTTACGCCTGGATGAGAATAATGCCGCCGAAATCGAGGCCCACTATTCAGACCGTCGTCACAAATATTATGAAAGTACAGCACACGTTTTACGAATCCTACCAACAGGTTCGAGAACAGCTTCTTTCCTGCTGTCATTAGACTTCATGTGGAGGCGCTGGTGTCAGACTGGGTTGGACAAGGTCAGAAATCACACAACACCAGGTTATAGTCCAACAGGTTTACTTGAAAACACAAGCTTTCAGAGCCTCGCTCCTGTTTCAGGTGTTGGCGAGAGAGGTGGCATTAGACACAGAATTTATAAGTAAAAGATCAAAGGGTCACACTACTGATGAGGATGTTTTAAACAAACCTATGATGCTGTTAAATCTTTAATCAGATAGAAGGTTTTAATTGATTAATGTGTATATGTAAATCCCTGAATTTCTTTCAAGTCACTGCCCTGAGAGAACTAAAGGTTTTGTAAGTGTAAAGAAGAGACGACATTTTAGGTCAGACAATGCATGTTAGGTGTGAGACCTTGTTTAGAATCTGTTTGTGTTTTGCTTTGGAGTCAGACTGGATTTATTTCGAAAGTAGGAATTTATAAAATGCCACATTGAATGACTGTCTATAAATTGTGTGCTATTTGAACAAAATAGAATGTATCACGTGTGTGCGTGTGTGTGTGTCGCGCACACACACTTGTGCTTGTGTCGGGGAGAGAGCGTGTGGAGGGAGTGTGTGGTGGGGCGGAATTTGCGTGTGAGGGGAGTGTGCGTGTAGGGGAGAGAGAGAGTGTGGGGGGGGTGTGGGGGGGGGAGTTTGCGTGCGAGGGGAGTGTGCATGTAGGGGAGAGAGAGTGTGGGGGGTGTGTGTGTGGCAGGGCGGAGTTTGCGTGTGAGGGGATTGTGCGTGTAGAGGAGAGAGTGTGTGCATGTTGGGGGTGGAGTTTATGTACGAGGTTAGATACAGAGTAAAGCTCACTGTACACTGTCCCCCATCAAACACTCCCAGGGCAGGGACAGCACGGGATTAGATACAGAGTAAAGATCTCTCTGGTCAGCCTCTATTGCCCCACTTGTATTTTTGCCCCTTGCTGATACATCCGAGCTGTGAGATTGATCTCTTTCTCTCCGTGTGCAGTTGGAATTTTCTGACGATGTAGCGCGAATAATTCAGAGCAGCATCAATGAGGAGCTTGAATTCCCGGATACCAGGAAAGCTAACTTATCAGCAAAGGCCTATTTCATCAAGGTACATCGATCGCCTCCTCCTTTTTACCCCTCTCCCTCCCAAACCCCCACCTTTGCCCTTTCTCTCTCCCAAACTCCCACCTTTACCCTCTCTCTCTCCCAAACTCCCACCTTTACCCTCTCTCTCTCCCAAACCCCCCACCTTTACCCACTCTCTCCCAAACCCCCACCTTTGCCCTCTCCCTCTCTCCTTCCCAAACACCCACCTTTACACTCTCTCCCTGCTCTCCTACCACCTGTTTCCCACTTTCCCCTCCCCC